GGATGCCTCGTCGCCCTCCCTCCCCCCGCAGCGCTCCTCCCCGCCCTCCCGGCCTGCTCCCTGCCGCTCCCTCGAGGACGAGGGACGGAGAGGGGGGGATCCCTGCGCCCGCGGCTGCCTCGTCTCCCTCCCGCCCTCCTCGCGCTCCTCCCCGCCCGGCCAGCCTGTTCCCTGCCTCTCCCTGGCCACCTCCTCCTGCGGCTCCCGCCCCTTTGCTGCCGTCTTCTGGCTCCTCCTCTTCTTCCTCGTCATCGTCGTCCTCCTCCTCCTGCTCCTCCTTCTCCGTTCCCTCCCTCTCCTCCTCCTGCTCCTCCTCCCCCGCCTCTTCTTTCTAGCGATCTAGCGACACGCTTCAAAGTCGACGAGTGGACGACCGTCTGCCACAAGCGCAAAATGGCGACGGGCAGGGCGAATCGCAGAGCAATCCCGCCTCAGATGGACCAGACATGCTGCGGCGTGGGGGCCCGATGTTCACGACGCCAGACCAGCGATACGCAGACAGGGACGACAGCGAAAGATGTGGTGCGACGACATATCACATTTTGTACGCGCTGCCATTGGTGATAAAACCAAAACGTGCTTCGATGTTGCTCGAGACCAGACACTCTGGAACAAGTGGGAGAAAGACAGCTTTGCACACGCGCACATCTGATCGGGCCCCGGCACGCCCGCGCCGCTCCTGAGGGGCCCGCCTGCCGGCGGACGCGCGCGTCTCGTCTCGTCTCGACTCGCCTCCTCCTCCCCCTCCTCCTGCTTCTCCGCCTTCTCCGCTTTTTCCCCGCCCTCCTTCCGCTCCAGCAGCTTGGGCTCGAGCGCTCTGCTGGCGCCCAGGGCCCCTCCCCCGCAGTGCTGGAGGGACTTAGCCTTTGAGTGCCCGCCGCACCACCGGAGCCCCGACCAAGACAGCGGCAGGGGCCGCGCTCAGCCAGCCGCCATGGCCCCGTTGGTTGCCAAGCCGTGGTGGAGCAGCTGCGATGGTGGGCGATGTGGGTGGACTCGTGTGCTGGTCGTGAACAAACTGACGGGCCCAAGCGTTGTGGAGCAGGCGCGATGGTGGGCGATGTCGGTGGACTCGTGTGCTGGTAATGGACAAGTTGACGTGCCCAAGCTGCACGGGCAAAGCGGAGCTGTCTCACCGTCCCCGTGGTCGCAAGGTGTCTCTCAGTCAGCGGGGCTCCGGCGGCGAGTTTTCTCGTTTGCTATTAAGGCGACGCCGCTGGGTGCGTACAGGGTACCCCCAAGCCCAGCAGCCGCAGCAAGTCCCCCAGGGGCGTCGCGCAGCGCAACTTGGGCAGAGGCAGAGGTTCAGGTTCAAAGGTGTCCAACCTTCTCCAGAAGGCCGTCCTCCGCACAGAGGACAAGTACTTACATAACGCGCTGAAGTTGCAACTCGCGCGCTTGGAGGAGGACGACATCACTCCGAGTGCGGCTTCGCAGAGTCCCGTCGAGACACTGCCGTTGGCGGTCGGCGGACGGAGCGTACAGGAATGCGAGCCATCTGCGTGAGCAGGCTGTTGCATCGGTCTTGCGACCTCGCTCGAGTTTGGCAGCGGCGGAGTTGAAAGAGCAAGCGGCGGCCATGAAGTTGGCGGAGGCCGAGGAAGCCAATACCAACGCGGCGCGGGTGCTGGCAGTCTCGGAGGGAGTGCGTTCTCGTTCTCAGGACGGCAGCGCGAAGGGCGACGGCACCATGTTCAATATCGACTGGGGCCAGAGTTTTGTTGACAATCTCGCGGACATGGATATCACCGCCGGCGCCGAACGCCAGAGCCTCGGGAAGCTGCGCCAGGACGTCGGCGCGACGCGCTCGTATCTCGAGGGCCGAGGAGATCAAGGCGCGGCCGGCGCGGGCCCGAGCCCGCCAGCAAGAGATCACGGAGAGGATGGCGAAGACGCGCAAGGCAAAGACAGGTGAAGCTGTTCGGGCGGGCGATGGCGACGGAGGCGCGTCGGCAGGAGGAGCGCCCGTGGGGCCCGAGGCCGAGGCCGCTTCGGAGGAGCAGCAGCAGGACGTTTCACAGAGGCACTTCGGCAGTGCCATGTCACCTCCAAGCTGCAGGGGCAAGGTGGCTTCCCTGCTGACATCTGGCCACCAGGTTCATGGAGTATTCGGAGAACGGTTGAAGTTGATGCGCAGACGCTTGGCCCGGCCTTGTTTTAATGGGAATCGGGGCCGATGCTTGACAACTGTGCTGGACCTCAAGTTGCGGAAGCCGGGCCCAGCTATTCGTCGGTGGTGCGAGGGGCTGACCCATGGCTGAAGACGTGGCGAGATCGCCCACGCATCCGCGATGGCACCAGGGGGATCCGGCCCAAGCTAGTGCAGCAAATGCAGAAGGTGTGACACTCGGATCAGGCCCGACACGTCTGTGGAACTAAATCAGCTATTATTCTCAACCCCCTTCGAGTTGGATGGACTCCGTCACCTGCGACGGAATGGAATTACCCGACTAGCGACAACACGTGCGAGGAGTGGTCATTCCCCGTCTCCAGCGACACAGGCAAACCGCACATCGGCTATCGGCCATCGGCAGCACTTGCTCAACGACCTGGGGGCCGTCGCCCGTTTTACGGTATGGAGGCGAACCAGTGCGCAGCATGCGGGAGGAGGGGTAGACAAAGGAGTTGATCATGCTTCGTTTTGTGCCTTGCTTCGCCACCTTGCCGCCTCACCTCATGGCATACATTTGGCGGATACCATGGCGATGATTGCAGTTGCAGGGTGTTGGCCTAAGACTCGTAGACTAGATTTGATCAAAGGTTCTGCTGGTGACCATGTTTGTAATAGATGCCGCCGGACGCCGGAGACTCAGCCCCGCAGGTATTGGGAATGTAGTGAGAATGCGGGGTACAGGGCCTATGGGGTCTCCGATGAATTAGCGATGCAAGCCTCCACCCAACTTGAGACTGTGAGGCTTTTCGCTCAGGGGCCGAATCCCTGCTGAGTGGGCCAGGGTTCCTGAGCCCGTAGTGACTCCTGGACCACGACGGGCGCGAAAGAGGTTGGAGCGGGTTGCTTCGGCGCGGGTGCGCGAGTGTCTTATCCCGGTCACTGGCGATGCCTCGGGGGGTCCGACTCGAGGCCCAGGTTGCGCCGAGTAGGGCTCGCTATTGCCAAGGTTTCTTCCCTCGCCCCGCTCTCGGCGGAGGCGCCCATCCTGGGTCCCTTTCTAAGGGCGGAGACAAGTAGTTGCCCGCGGGGAACTTGGGGCGCATTTATCAAGCATTGCATGTAACTAAGGGCATGTGATGTACATTATTATTTCGAATCGCTGGCTGAAAGTTGATATTTCCACGAGTATGTGAGCCGAATGGTCCCGATGCTGACTTGTGGGCCAGAGCTCATGCAACATAGATTATTTAAGCAGGTAGTTGTTCTTGTTTTATCGGAGTCATCAAAATGAAGATGGCATAGTCTCGAAGCGTTCAGTGGGCAGTTTCGTGATAACCAAAGCTGTTGCCGATGAGCTGGCCGACTGTACAGCTAAGTTGTGTAGGATTCCACGGGCCATCAGACACCAGGCCCAATTTGTTGAGCAGGAGGCTGTGCTGTTCAGGATGCGTTTCTTGCGTGCTGCGCTTGATTCTTGTGCTGCTGCGAAGGTGTTTGCCCTGTGAGCGAAGAATAGGAACAGGGAGGGGGTCCCACCTCCCCCTTCCCCCGCAAGCCCCGGTGCTGCTGCTGCTGCTGCTGTCGCTTCCCCCATGTCGTCTCGCAGGTTCTCGGAGTGGAAGCGCAAGTGCCTTACATGCTGCGGCTCGGCCACACTGGCCGCGGCTGCCGAGTGGTGGAATACTGCCTGCCCTGCATAAGTCAACGTCGACGGAGTGATAGTGTCCCCTTCCGAGGGGGCCCGAATTCATGTGGCGGGGGGCTGGCTGCGCACCTCTCATCTTCTCAACTACCATATGCACTTGCATGTCTGGTTTGTGGGTGTTGCGGGGTTATCGCTGGCAAGCAATTGCGGTCCCTTGGTAAATCCTGCGGGCCCCCCACACGTACGGGGCGCGAATAGCGAATATTTCGATCGCATTAAGAGTGGGTTATGCCCCAAAGTTCTGAGCAAGGCCGACCTTGAACGGCGGGGCGGCAGCGAGGGTCTTCTCTTGAGTGTGGTTGATCGGTGCTGGCATCGCCATTGGTTCGTACTCTTACCCCTACCCCTACCCCTACTCCTACTCCTACTCCTACTCCTACCTCGCCCTCCTTCCGGCCCTCCCGCCCCCCTCCTCCCCTCATCCTCCTCGCCCCTCCGCCCGCACTTCTTCCAGCACGCGTATCTCGTCACATTGTGTAGGCTTTCGTTGATTCTGTCATATGGTCATATTCATACAGTGGGGACGCGCATCAAGAAACCAGATGCGGTTCGTCAGGGTACCCTGGTCTTCTTCGTTCCGCGCGCTACGTGGTAACTCCCAGCGGCCGTGGAAGGAACTGCCTTGTTCAGGGTGCTCAGGGTTTCCCCTCAGGTGCAATCTGCGCGCGGGTTTTCAAGGTTGGGTTTCTTGCGCGTGTTTCTTGCGACCGCGCCCGCATTGTACTCATAATCGTGTTCCTCCATCCTATTCACTCCTCGGCCCGCCCGCGCCCCTCCGCCGCTCCGCCCCTCCGCCCAGGACTCGGGCGGCCGCTCGGGACGTTCCGGGCAGCCCTGGACGCTCGTCGACGAGGCGCACCTGCTGGTAAACACCGTGGGGCCCGAAGGGTTTTGTCGGGGAGACATGAGACTCGAGTGCGCAGGAACTCGGGTTAGCCGACAAATTTTGACGAGCGCGCCCTGGATATGTTGGCGGCCCAGTTTTCGTGGGGTGCTCGCAGCGGGAGCCGCCTCTTGTCATTTTCACGATGGCCCTGTCAGTCGAACCCGAGTCCCCCGAACCCGCGTCTTGTCTTACATCTCCCCGATTCGAACAACATGCAAAACACTTCCGTGACCTCCCACGCCTCCGATCGCCGCTCGTGTGCTCTCGCGCCGCGCGCGCGCCTGCGCGCGCGACAGCTCGACGACGTCGCCGCGCTGCTGGAGGCGCTCGCGAATCCGAGGCCTCCCCGCGAGGGGGGCAGCGTCGGCAGACGGCGGGGTCGAGGGAGGGATGAGGAGGGAGGAGGAGGAGGAGGAGGAGGAGGAGGAGGAGGAGGAGGAGGAGGAGGAGGAGGAAAAGGAAAAGGGGGGGAGGAGGAGAGGGAGGAGGAGGAGGAGGAGGAGGATGAGGAGGAGGAGGAGGAAGAGGAGTAAGAAGATGAATAGGAAGAGGAGGAGGAAGAGGAGGAGGAGGAGAAGATGGAGGAAGAGGAGGAGGAAGAGGAGGAGGAGAGGAGGAGGGAACTCGACTAGTTGGCTGGCGGTGTATGATTGAGGTTTGGCATGTTGGTGGCTGGTTCGTTGGCTGAAGTGCTGCTTCGCAGGCTTGCTGGCCTGTTGGAAGGCTTACTGGGTGACTGGCGAGTTCGAAGCGCAGGTCACGATCTTCTTACGAGGGATCTCTGTGACAGCGTAGCTCACAGCTAGGCTCGCGGGTGTCCTGAGACTGAGAACAGAGACCGTTATGCCAGATTTATATGTATGGGGATCGCGTTGAAAGTTGGGGTGGGTTTCGGCGGGGAGGTGGGGAGAGGCAGAAACGTGTCTTTTCATATTGCCTCGATCCTAGATCAGACATGACATTTTGGGATTCCCCAAGCGGGAGCCGCTCAGGGGAATATCACATCCCTCTAGGGCCGTCGTGGACGCTCAGAATCTCAAAAGTCGCACATGCTAGAAGTATGCGTTTTCCCATCGGAGCGAGACGATTTTTGCAGTTCTGGGCCTTCTTGGGAGGCCTCTTGAAGCCCTCTTGGGGCGTCTTTGGGGCCTCGTGGACCGTCTCAAGGCCATCTTGGGCGTCTTGGGGCGGCCTGTCGGCGACGTGCAGCCTTCCTGGACCCTTTTGGGGCCCCTTTAGGTCCGTCTTGGGGCCGTCTTCGGCTGTCTTGGGCGCCTCTTGGGCCGTCTTTGAGTTCTTTTGGGCCGTATTGGGGTCCTCTTCGGTCCATAGTCGGGCGATCTGGGGCGCCTCTAGGGCCGTCGTGGGCGCACAGAGTCTCACAAGTCGCACATGCTAGACGTATGCGTTTTCCAGTAGGAATGGGACGGCTTTTGCATTTTGGGGGCCTTCTTGGGAGGCCTCTTGAAGCCCTCTTGGGGCGTCTTTGGGGCCTCGTGGACCGTCTCAAGGCCATCTTGGGCGTCTTGGGGGGGCCTGTCGGCGACGTGGAGCCACCTGGACCCTTTTGGGGGCCCTCTTGGGGCTCTTTGGGGCCGTCTTTGGGCCCTTGTTCGGATTTCTTGAAGGCTTAGTCTGGGGGGGGGTCTTCGAGGGACCGCCGACAGAGTGGAGGCCCACAGAAGGGACTTCCGGGAGATTTTGGCCAGGCCCAGGCGAATCCTACCAGGCATTTTGTCAGAGTGATCTCGCACGGCCCAACCCGCATGGTGGGAGCGGCCGGATTTTCAGGCTGCCGCCTCTGCCGCCGACCCCAATTCAGCGACTTATATTTGATTCGTTGTTTTGTCAGGGTGCCTTTCCGAGCACGGCAGGAAGGGTCCAGGGTTCAGGCGAGACATCCAGGCCTGAGCGTCGCCCCTGGAATCTTGAGTCTCTGTTGCACCTCGGACTCCTCTTTATCTACAGAAGCAGGTGTATCCGATGATCATGGTTCTGACGTATCGCATCGCGTTTCTGAGCTCCCATGGGGGAGCCATTTGGGGGTATCTCAATTTGTTATTGGCTGGGATCGTGGGGGGTGGCAGTGGTTCGGGTTAGCAGTCGGTAGAGTGGCACAGCGGGCCCGCTCATTTTTGGCAGGACCGATGGGGGTGGGTCGTTCAGGGGTGCTCGACATGTGGTTTGAAGGCGAAGTCCTGAAGCCTCCGCGATTCACGACCGTCCCTCGACATAATCGCCCTGGAAGATGCCGGGAACAGCGCGCAGGATCTGCAGCGAGTGCGGCCTGCGAGACGGAAACACAACCAATACACGACCACCTGGGCACGATAGGGTTCTTTTAACCAGTCCGCCATTCCATAACAGGTCGTAGATGCCTCGAACGATACCTCAGTGACCACCCCTTCGGGTGATAAGGATACTGGTGGTTGAGGAGCTTGAATTTTGATTGCAATCGGACGTTCATGCCGATCAGCCTTTCGGTCGCGGACTGCATTCCGACACATTTCAATTGCATGCCGATTGCATTGTCATTCACATGTCGAATTGCGTGTCGGTCTTATGTTCAGTGTGTTACATGGTTGAACTTCTATTTCGTTCGATGTGCCCTTCGATTTGCATTTGGACTGCCATTCCAATTGCCTGGCCGATTCCGGTGTTGGTTTCATTTGGTTTTTGCTGGTCGATTGGCGTCGCAATGTGCCTGTCGATCATTTCGATGCTGAGGTTGATCTGCTTGTGGGAGGCCATGCTGATTCGAATTGCGATGTGCAGTATGCGTATGTCATACAACGGGGGACCGGTCCCGGGCCCCCCCCCGGGCCAGAGCCTCGATCGCGGATGTGCGCCCCGGGGGCCGGGTCCGCGGTTGGAGGCCCAAAGTCGCTTCCGAGAGGATTCTGGCAGCCGTCCGGGCAGCCCAAGACGGCCCCGAGTCATTCCCAACCGGGCCTCGGGGGGCTTCCAACGGCCCAAGATGCCTTTCAAGGAGGCGCCCACGACGCGTCAAGGCCGCTCCAAGAGGGCCCCCAAGAGGGCCCCGATGATCAGACATCGCCCCGTTCCCGCAGGGGAGCGTACATTTCAGCGTATTCGCCTTCTTGAGCTCAGCGTGGTCCAGGACGACCGAAGAGGTCTTCAAAACTGAGGGTACGAAAAATGACACAAACATAAAATCTCGGAGGTCCGCGCGGATTCCTCGGATCCGCGCTGGAGCCCCCTGGCGGCGCCTCCAGCGCCGCCTGGCGCGCTTCGCGCGCCAGGGAGGGGGCTGGGGGTCCAGCGCCCATCCGAGAAATCCTCGCGGACCTCCGAGATTTCATGTTTGTGTCATGTTTCGTTTCCCCTATCGACGTCGCCCTGGGACTGCCCAAGAGGCGGGGAGGAGCAACGCCTTCACACGCCGTAGACACCCCAGTGGGACGGCGGATTCAGAGATCCGCGTCCTCTCCTTGTGAATTTTCTCTGCGCAGTGCCGAGCACCGCACCTCGAGTGGTAGCTGTCTCGAAGAAGAAAAAACGATCTTACATAAACTTCGGGCGCTCCGCGCGGATTTCTCGGATCCGTGCGGGGCCCCCCTGGCGGCGCCTCTGGCGCCGCCCCCAGCGCGCTCCGCGCGCCAGGGAGGGGGGTCCAGCGCGGGTCCGAGAAATCCGTGCGGAGCACCAAACGTTTATGTTTACAGCGTTTTTTACCTAACAGCGTAGACTGATAGGTTTCTAGTTGACTCAAAAGAGCTCACAGATCACTCCACAGGGGGGTCCGGGCAGGCGTTGGGAGTTGCCGGCCGGCAGGGTGCCGGGCCTGTGCCGGGCTCGTTTTTCACCAACAGTCACACACTTCGTGCTCGTCGACCTCTCAGAACCCCATTCCCAGGCCACATTCTGAATAACCGGATGCAACAGTCACACACTTGGTGCTCCTTGACCTCCCAGAACGCCATTCCCGGGCCACATTCGGAATAGCCGGACGCAACAGTCATACAATTCCTCGTACTTGACACCCCAGAACTCCATTCCCGGGCCACATTCTGATTAACGGGATGCAGCAGTCACACATTTCGAGCTTTTTGGCATCCCAGAACCCCATTCCCAGGCCACATTCGGAATAACAGGATGCAAGAGTCACACACTTCCGAGACCTCCCAGAACTCCATTCCCAGGCTACATTTGGAAAAATCGCACACAACAGGTATACACGCCGGGCTATCTGGCTGTCTGGAACGGCATTCCCGAGACATCCCGGCAATCCCGGGGCTGTCCTGGCATACAGGCCGTCCTCGCTTTCATCAACATACATCGTTTGAGATTCCATGCGTTCATAGCAGAGTGTCGTTTGGATACACATCCATTCAAGTTCCCAGCGTTGATAGCAGTGTCTCGTTTGGACAGACATCCATTCAAGGTCGGTGCGTTGATAGCAGTGTCTCGTTTGGAGAAACATACTTTCAAGCTCCATGCGTTGATAGCAATGTCTCCTTTGAACAAGCATCCATTCATTTTCCACGCGTTGATAGCAGTGTCTCGTTTGGACATATATCTATTCAAGTTCCGTGCGTTGATAGCAGTGTCTCGTTTATACATGTAGTCATTCAAGCGACATGCGTCCATGGCAGTACCTTGTTTGACAACACATCGAATCAAGCTCAGCGCGACGATGACAACAGCTTTTGCATCACTATTACTGTTACTGTTGGTATCACAGTGCCTCTCACTGCTGCTGCATGTTTCAGTTATACTTAGACACATCGTTGTTAGGTTGCTTTGCCGGGATAATTCTTCTCCTATTGCCACACACGTGCAGGAGAAACTCTTCTGCCTTTTTTGGTGTTACCCTCGTCTCTCTTCTGCGTGTCCACTGCCCTGCTAGTTTCTCTCTCTCTCTCTCTTTCTCTTTTTTGACGCCCCGCAAATTTTCGCAGGAGGCGATCCATGGATCCGGCGCTATTTGTCAGATAACTGAATCGCTTCGCTCAATCCGCTGGCCCATATTTAATGGACTTCGGTCCACCCCGCCACCGTGCCTGGGTGGTGGTTCTGAGGTCTCTTGGATGTTCGTCGGGATCTCGTCGAGGCCTGCCGGGGGCCTCCTGGAGGTAGTTCTGACGCTTTCGGGGGGCTGTTTGGGGCCTCTTGGGCCGCCATGGGCGCCTCTCGGGCCATTTTCGGGCCCTTTTGGGGCCGTGTTGGGCCGTCTTGGGGCGGTCGTGGGGGCCTCTTGGGACGTCTTGGAGCGTCGGAAACTCGAAAAGTGGAGAACCCCCAAACCATTGAAGAACCTGAGGGCAATCAATGATTTTCCAGCAGGGGAAAAAGCACACAGACACAATGAATCGTCGA